GAAATGGCAGCTTCAATGAAAAGTTCAGACTTTTAGATTCAATTATGTCTATCTGAGGAAGAGGTCCCTACAGTGGCATTATTTTCTTAGCTCCCATAAACGGTGCCATCCGGATCACAGACCCTGCCCCTGGCCTGCTGCCGAGGGCGGCCACCGAGAAGCACACGGCCTGCCGCTGCCCAGTCACTAGGCCAGTGATGGCAAACCTTCTGAGCTCGGCGTGTCAGCATTTTGAAAACCCTAACTTAACTCTGGTGCCGTGCCACATACAGAAATTTTTTGATATTTGCAACCATAGTAAAACAAAGACTTACATTTTTGATATTTATCTTATATATTTAAATGCCATTTAACAAAGAAAAGTCAACCAAAAAAATGAGTTCGCGTGTCACCTCTGACACAAGTGTCATAGGTTCGCCGTCACTACACTAGACACTTAATCTGAGATATGCAACAAGTATCCTGTGGGCATTTTCCAGCCAAGTTCTTACTCACCGACACCTTCTACAAAATCTAGGAAGAAGAGATGTCATCCACAGGGGGCCCCGCCCGAGCCTCCAGACTGAGAGAAGAACTGTTTCTGATGTTCTCCAACAACTACTTTGTGTGGGTGATGCCCAACCACACAGACGCTCTTACAGAAGGGGAAATGGAGCCCAGAGGGGGAAGGACAGTGGCCCGGAGTTAGACCAGCAGGAAAATGACAGCGCTGGTACCTGAACCTAAGTCTGTGTGGCCTTGGAACCCAACACCTAGCCACAAAGCCAGGAAGCCAGCATCCCGTGCTGGGCGTGTGAAATGAAGGGCTTCGCCCTGGCCAGTGCATCTCCGCTGGTGGGAGGAATGTCCCTTCCACCAGAAGGCAGTGGGTTCCGTTCCTAGTCAACGAACATCCCAGGTTGCTGGTCTGATCCCCCGTCGGGGCATGTGCGGGAGGCAACTGATCAATGTTTCTTTTCCCTGCCTCTCTCTAAAAATCAATACATAAAATATGTAAATAAATGAAATGACAGCCTACAATATTCTTACCTTTACTCTCCCAGCAGTTTTCAAAATGTGATATACCTTGACAGCCACTCCTACATTCTCTATCCTGCGGTCATTTTGCAAAATGTTAAGGCACTGTTACTGGAGGGAACATGAAACACACACACTGAGAAACGCAGCATGGAGGACACAGCTGCTCCAAGAAACCCTCCCCACTTCTCCTCATCTGGCGTCAGGCTCCCCTGCGCTCTCATCCGTTTCGGCCGTGCATCCTTGGCCCCAAATAATGGCTTACTCTTTCCAGGCCGCAGTTTCCTTACCAGTGAAACACGGATAAAAATTAAACCCACGTCCAAGGGCGGCTGGGCAGCAGGAGTGAGGAAGCACTAGGTCAGAGCGAGCGAAGCACTGCAGATCCTAAACATCCGTGCCCCTCCTCAGCGGTCAGGGTACGAGGCACGCAGCACGCCAGTTTAAACTCTGCCCCCTCGAGCCGCGAGACGCCCCTGCTGCACCCACATGCTGGTGGCCCCCGTCGCCCCGGCGGGACGGGAAGCCCAGTGGGAGAACCCGTTCCCCAGGCCTCCGGGACACACCCTCTGCGTTGGGCTCCCCTTCCTGCTGTAACAGATCACCACAAGTGCACTCTCGTACAGTTCTGGAGGCCAGGAATCCTGAGTGGTCCCGGGGGGCTAAAGTCAAGGTGTTGGCAGGACCAGGTCCTTCGGAGGCTCCGGGGGACAAACTGTTTGATGGACTTTTCTGAGACCCCACCCCTCCCCGGGCTCCTTTCCTCACCCGCCTCCCCCTCCAGGCCAGCAGCCTGGCATCTTCCAGTCTCCCTCCAGCTCTGAGACTCACTCTCCGGCCTCTTTCGAGGACGCTGGTGACTGCACTGGGCCCACCCGAGTCATCCAGGATAGCCTCCCTTCTCACAGTCACCTTCATCACACCTGGAAAGGGCCTCTGCCACGTGGACACCTGGCAGGGCGTTATTCTGCCCACCCCACCAGTCAATATGAAGGCGCATTGAGTGCTTCGTCTTCTAAACTTGACGTGGGCTGAGTCTCAGAACAGCCCTACAAGGGATGCGTACTTGTCACTGCCACTCGACGATGAAAAACCTGAGAGACCCAGAGAAGTGAAGTAATTTTCCCAAGTCGCACAGCGAGTAAGGAGAGGCGGCTGGGCTCGAACCCGGCTCCTCAACTCCCAAACCCACGCTTGTCACAACCGATCTCTGGTGTTTCACCAAGAAGAAAGGAACTCCATTCAGCCAGAAGCAAAGCACATGACGTCAGAAACTGGCTCCCAGCGAATACAGGGCAAATGCCTTGTTTCCTAAAACCTCAGCCACAGTGTTTTCAGCGGCAGGATGTGGAACCTTCTCACGAGAGCATGAGCACTGGGGCCACGGGATTCCTTCTGCAAATCACCTTCACCTCTTGGCAAAGTGACATCATCAACGCTGAGCGACGCTCTGTCTCCCTGGACTCCTGGCTCCTATGGTTTTGGGTTTTTAACCACAAAACCCCCCAACCACCCCGACAGCTGAGAGCCAGTGGGGGAAATGAACTGACTGGATTCGAATTCAGCCCCTCACAAGGACCACCTCTATTGTCTCCAGCAAATTATTTAACATTGATGAATCTCAGTTTTCTCGTCTATAAAATGGGGACATTAATTCCCAAAACTCACAGTCATTGTGAGGATTAAAACAGGACCGTTTAATCCCCGCCAGAGCCTGACCTGTCACATATTCGTTTCTTCTCCCTTTAACTCCCCCCACCCCCCAGCCTCCCAGGGAATTATATTTCAGGAAGCCTCGCCGTCCAGCTGTTCCAAAGTACTTCTATACACCAAGATCCCCACCTCCACATGCTGCTTCTAACGCTGTAGACTGAACACAAGACCATATTTCCAAGTGCCTGGCTCCCCAATACATGATTTGAACCTGAATCCGTGTCACTATTTAGGAAATAAATTAGTTCCATGGTGACAAATGCTAAAGGAGGTGTGACACTCCACTCTAATATCCCACAGAAATCTTTTTTAACCGTCTGTACCACTCCCTCCAGATCCCCACATTAACAGTGCATATTTCTTTCTTGGTAACTACCACTTTTATCTTTATTTTTTTATTACTTGAGAGAGAGAGACAGAGACAGAGAGACGGAGAGACAGAGGGAGAGAGCGAGAGAAACACTGATTTGTTGTTTCACTCATTTATGCATTCACTAGTTGACTGGGTTACGGGGATCGAACCCCCAACCGTGGCTTCTCCAGACTATCACTTTTAAATAATCATGTGCATTTTCTCTCATGCACTGAATCAGAGGTTCTCAACTACGACTGCAGTTGAAATCATCTGGGAGCTTTGAAAAATTAAATACATGCCTGGGTCCCACTGCCGATTCTTATTTCTAAAGTCTGAAATGGGCAGGGGCTGGGCCATCCCCAGATGGCTCCCATGCACAGGCAGGGCCAGGCACCTGCACCTGCTGGGCACTGTCTTGTTTATTAATTCCACTCTGCATCCTAGTCACCTGGCAGGGACCGGGCTCACAGTAGGCAAAATGTCACAATTGTTTGCAGCATGAATTAATAACTAAACTTTAGAGTCCGCTGCTCGTAAAAATTCGCTGAAATATTTACGAAGGGTGTATATTGCATCAGGCACCATGCCAGGCACAGAGCTCGCGTTGACATCACTCTTTCGCCTGGATTGGTCAGGAATAAAACATGGAACAGCGAAGGAAGGGGTGGAGGGCTGTCTGTCTCTGGGTCAGGCCACCCTAACCCCATCTCCCTTTGCATCTGCCTGGCAGTCCTCAACCTGGCTGAGCTGTTTCCTCTGTGTTACAACAATGGGGCCTCCTCGCCGGAAGATTCAAGGAAGGCAGGGACAAAGAACCCCACAAAATGGCAGCTGGCATCAGCCCCCCCATGTACACCTGATGAAGCCGCCCTAGGCGTTTCCCTCCCCACCCCCTGCACCAAGCATCTGACGCTGCGTAAACCACGGCCACAGGGAGGTGCCCAGAACGGCCAGGACAGGACACCAGGGGGAGGGCTGCTCCCTGGCGCAGCCCCGCCCAGCTGCCGGTCTCAGCCTTCAGGGCCTGGGCCTCACCTGGGCGGGCGGGGGGAATGCACATTTCCAGGCCCCGCCGCACCCCCAAGAACTGATTGACGGGTCTGGGCTGAAAAATCTGTATTTTAACCAGCTCCCCTCAACCTCCACCCCTGGGTAAATCTATCGCAGTTGGTGCCACAGTCCCTCAAAACCTCAACAGGTCATTGCCAGCCTCCCAAGGGGAGGACACAAGGGCGCAAAACATCACCCCGGCCCCTCTCCAAGGGAGGGAAGCCCGCGCCCGGGCGCGCGAGTCGGTCTGCCGCAAAGCCGCCGCAGGTGGCTGCCCCGCCTGCCAGGGGCTCCTTCCCGCAATGTGGGGAGCGGGGAGGGGTCCGAAATCGGCCGGTTAGAGCGCCTCCCACCCTCCTGCGGCGGCCGGTGCGGGTCCACCTGGGGCCGGGCGCTGAAGGGGGCCGTTTTGGAGCTGGAACCGGGGGCGCTGCCGCGGGACCCCGGGCGGGCACGGGAGGAGCCGTGCCCCACCCCAGGCAGCCCAGCACACCCCGGGGTCCGAGGACCGCTCCGCGCGCAGAGCACGGTTTCGTATCAATCCCGGCGACGAGGAGACGCCAGAAAACAATAAGGCAGCCCAGGCATGGCTGCTCCCGGTGCGCGCGCTGTAAACAGCGCCGGGCGGGCCGGCTCTCGGGGTTTCTAGAGGAAGGTGCCCGGGGCGCCAGACAGCCCGGCGCTCAGGCCCAGGAGGACGGGATCGCGCGGGGACCCGACCCGGGCTGGAGCGGAGAGGAGCCTCGCCCGGCCGCCCGCCTCCCGCCCGCCTCCCCGGCCGCCGGCTCATGGCGCCGCGCGCGGCCAAGCTGTCGGGCCCGGCCAGCTCCGCCGCGCGCCCGCCCAGGCGGCCCGGCCCGCTCACCCGGTGCGGGGCCTGCTGTCCATCCGCTTCTTCTGGCGCACCGGCTGCAGCGGGATGTTGTCCGTCATGTCGCCCGCGCCGCCCGCCTTGCCTGCCGCGCCCCCCGCGCCGCCTGGGCCGCCGCCCGGTCCGGCCTCCGCGCCGCCGCCCGCCGGCGCCGCGCCGCCCCGGGGGAGGAGGCGGCGGCAGCGGGCGGGCCGGGCCCGCTGCGAGGGGGCGAGTTCGCGAGCGCCGGGCCACGCGCGGAGACGGCCGCGCGGCCCGACCGACGGACACGGGCGCACCATGGGCCCGAGCTCCGCGCTGCGCCCACTCGCCCCGCGCCGCGCCCGCCACGGAGGGCGGCCGGCTGGACCCGCGCCGCCGCCGCAGTGTCCCCGGCCCGCGCCGCGCGCCACCCACGCGCGCCCACCCGGCCACCGCCCCCCGCCCACGCCCGGCCGCGCGCGCGCCCGCCCACCACCCGCCCACCAGCGTCCGACAGTCACCAGCACACACGCGGCCCCCCGCCAAGCTCAGCCGTCACATTAAATACATTGTTTCACATGCTCACTCTTGCACCAACATGCAGTCACACGCCAGCCCCACACACGCGCTCACTCTCACCCGCTCATTCCCCACCATCCGACATTCACAAGCACACAGCATAGCTTCCCACCTCACTCCCAACGCTGACGTTTACAATCACACATGCACACACCCCAATATTCACCCTCATGTGCCCATCCTGGATCTCAGGCCTCACTCACATGTGCCCCTAGGAATCACAGTGGACACAGGGGCACACCCTACCTCACTTCCCCGCCACCCTTCACTCACTGTCACTCTCCCACCTGGATCCCTGGGAGTCACTATCACACACGTGCACACACACAAACCTGCACGCTCTCATTCTCACACTTCCTCCACGAACTCTGGGGCTCACACACGCGCCCTCTCACTCATTCAGACATTCAACCACACCGATTCACATCGCACACCCCCAACTCCTTCGCCCAGACCCTCAGCCACACTCACTGGCTCACACTTTCTCACAGTGTCTAAGGCCTACCAACTTCCCAAGGGCCTGATAACATGTTGAGAACAGAAAGAAAGTGAGTAGTGGTGGCCCTGGTCCGTGTGCTCAGTGGTTGGAGCATTCACTGTGTGTGGGAGGCTCTCTGGCTTGATTCCCGGTCAAGGGCATGTACCTGGGTTGAAGGTTTGATCCTGGCCCCCCGTTGGGGTGTGTGCAGGAGGCGATCAGTGGATGTGTCTCTATCACATCAATGTTTCTCTCTCTCCCACCTTGCCTCCCTCTCTCTCTCTGAAAATCTATGGAAAAAAATACCCTCAGGTGAGGATTAACAAGAAAAGAAAGAAAATGAATAGTGGTGAAGGTTTAGAGGGCAATTAAAAATCCTATGTAACTGAAGAGTCCTTCAATGTAATACCTTACAAACTAACCTACTGCAACTAAAGTAAACTTTAAGTGGTTACACCTGTATACCTCCTGTGGCGGGCGGGCCTTTCAATTCCTTTGCTACAAATAATGGGGGAGCCACCAAAAATATGAGTCTGGGGCCCTGGGTGACAGAAGGAGGTGCGGGGTGCATCCCAAACCAAAGTGTGACTTAGCTCATGTCCCGATCAAGTTCCTCGAGGAAGAACCATGTCTTTAGAAGTTGCTGCATTGCGCCTCTGAAGGGAGAAGAGCATTCTTGGCTAAGCTTTGATGAATACTGACCACAAAGCATGCATTGCACTAAGGGCTTGATCTGTTCCCAGTACTGCTCTTAAGAGCACTCTGGTCTGCTTTGCTTCCTGATTTCTCTCTGCATCTGGGGCGGTGATCCATACACCTCACGGCACACAGTGGGCACACAGTGGGCACTCAGTGGGCACCCAGTATTTGTTGAGTGGAGGAAGTGCTAACACCCTGACACCCAATTAGGGCAACAGAGTAGGCCCCGCCCTCTACCACCAGTCCCCTCTCAAACCCCACCCACCTCAGATCAGTTGCAGACCCTCTTCTTCACCCCCCTCCCCCACCACATGTGGTCACAAGACCAAGGACATGGTGACCCTTTAACCCAGGGTCCCCCACACAGCTGGGGGTTAGTAACTGTGAGCTCTGTTTTTACCAAGCACCTCAAACATGCCTGAGTTCCACTCTTAACCCTCCTGACGGGCTTGGCAGCTAAATCTAAGCAATCACACCCATTTCACAGGTGAGGAACGAGTAGCTCAGAGTGGCCTGCACAAAGCCACGTGGTTAGGGACAGGCTGGGCTCCAGACCTGGTCTTTCGGGCTCCAGAAGGCAGGAAAGATGGTCTCCTGTGACCAATGGAATCAGCCATCATGACACTCCAGGCGCCTACTAATCCAGATCCCAAATAACCTTCAAGCTCCCTGTAGATCTTGTGGAGCCCGCCTGTGGCCACTCTCATCTGACCGGACCCTCGTTTTCTAAAGTATGGAGTAATAACCGTGGCTTCTGCGTCACATACAAGCTGTCGGGCCTCAGTTTCCTCATCTGTAAAATGGACTCATTGGACTGTGGGAAGGATTGCATGAGTTAATCATATACATAAAGCAACTGGAAGAGTGCCTACTCAAGGGAAGCAGTGAGTACAGTTGTTATTACAGGGTTGTTAGAAGAATTTAGAGCAGTAATGGGGGCAGATGAAGCTCTTAGTACAACGCATGCTTCGTGGTAAGTATTCATCTACTTTTTTTCTAGTGAGCATGTGTCACTTTTACAATGTTTTTCTTTAAATTAATATACTTTTAAAAACCAAAGAGCCCCCTCTTAATCTCCAGAGGTAATAACATTTCCATATCAAAAGAAGAGTGATTTTTATTGCCTTTGCATTTTTGTTTTTCTTCAGTGCACTTTCATAATCATTGGAGAAGACACTATTTTAAAAATATATTTTTATTGATTTCAGAGAGGGAAGGAGAGGGAGAGAAAAGGAGAAACAGCAATGATGAGAGAGAATCCTGGTAAGCTGCCTCCTGCACGTCCCCCACTGGAGATTGAGCCTGCAATCCGGGCATGTGCCCCCACTAGGAATCGAACCATGACCTCCTGGTTCATAGGTCGATGCTCAACCACCGAGCCACACCGGCCAAGCTGGAGAAGGCACTTTTTGAGACTCCCTTTCAGCAAAGCAATCCCTCAGGACAAGAGGCACTTAAAGGCTTTTATCTCATCTTTTATTTTATTTTTAATTGATTTGAGAGAGAGAGAGAGAAGGAGAAAGAAACATTGATTTGTTGTTACACTTATTTATGCATTCATTGGTTGATTCTTGTATGTGCCCTGACCAGGGATAGAACCCACAACCTTGGTGTAGCAGAATGATGCTCTAACCCACTGAGCTACCTGGCCAGGGCATTATCTCACCTGGAGAGAGATCTAGAAGCTTGCCTGAGATAGGCAAGAGGCCCAGGGGGCCCTCAGAAACAGTGCCAGTGTTCAGGAGAGGAATAGAGTAGGGGCAGTGATGGGAGGAGGGGTAATACTGGGCCCTACTCAGAGGGTGCAGCACCTGGCCCAGCCCTGCCTTCTGCCCATGGTGCTAGGAATGGTCCCCTCAGAGTTCTGATTTCTGAGGAGCAACCCCTTTCATGGCCTTGACAGCCCTCAGGCCCTGGGTGCAGTAAGCTGCCAACTCCTAGATACCCAGAGTGGAAAGGTCTTTAGTGGGTAAACCAACATAGCCCACAAATCAGAGAAACTGAGGCCCACAGGCGTGGCCAACAGATGGCAGACGCACCACTCAGCCTTATTTTCATAGATGTCCATGCTGGCTGCTCCTGCCTGTCCAATGGGGGAGGACTAGAGGCCGCGGCACTGGCTGGGGAAAATGGGAACTCCATCAATAGCAATGATTTGGGAAAACTCGGGCCGGGCAGAGAAGTAATGAAGTCCTTTTGGTGTCTAGAACCTTCTCTCTGAATGAATGCTCTGGGTAGTCCCGAGAGCAGTTTCTCAACCTTGGCTCTACTGACATCTGGGCTGAATATTTCATTGTGGGGCCATCCCCTGTTAGCAGCATCCTGGCCTCCGCCCACTAGATGCCAGTAGCAGCCCCACCCCTCCCAGTTGTGACGACCACAGATGTCCTCAGACATTGCAAAATGATTCCTGGAGGGCAAAATTGTCCCTGGCTGAGACCTGCTGGGCTAGCATGTGATGTGAAATAATTTTTAAGCCCCTAGTAAGGCTGTGACTCTAACAGGAATCTCTTCTCCCCACTCTTCTTTTTAGGAAAAAAAAACCTCTGTAAGTAACTGGCCAGGGTGTCACAGTAGTTGAGCCACACTGGCCGGATGAACCATGAGGTCAAGGTTTGATTTGATTCCCCATCAGAGCACATAAAGAAACATAAATAATTGCAACAACAAATCTCTCTCTCTCTCTCTCGCCGGTTGGTGATTCTTTCTCATCACTGATGTTTCTTTCTCTTTTTAAAAAATATATTTTTATTGATTTCAGAGAGGAAGGGAGAGGGAGAGAGATAGAGACCAATAACGAGAGTCATTGATCGGCTGCCTCCTGCACGCCCCAGCGAGCCGGCAACCTGGGCACGTACCCTGACTGGAATCTAACCATGACCTCCTAGTTCATAGGTCAATGCTCAACCACTGAGCCATGCCTGTGGGGCTCATCATTGCATCATTGCATGTTTCTTTCTCTCTCTCTCTCTCTCTCTCTCTCTCCTCACCCCTCCCTCTCCACAGCAATGCTATCTTCCAAAAAGAACAGGGAGTTTAGGAAAATTCCACAGAACATTCACTCATTCACTAACAACCTACAATGTCCCAGGCTCTGGGGATACAGTTAACAAGACAGACACAGCCCCTCTTCCTGGTGTCTAGGACTCTGCTAATTCCTAGAGGAGATTATAAATGACTTTGAAAAGGGCAAGGTTACCTGTGCCTGTCATGGCTTTGAGCTATTTTACAACTCTACAAGGTGGAGAAAACTGATAGCAACAAGCATTCTTGTCCATAGGAATGCAGATGGATTCTGTCCCATGGGATGCCCTGGATTATTGCCCTGTGGATATTGACCAGGATTTGTAAATTCACTTCAGCATTCCTGATTGCCTATCATTGGGGAGTTCTTGCAATTCTTTGACTCCACTGTAAATCTGTTAATAAAATCTTATCCATTTTATATTTGTAGAAGTCATGACTTCTCCTTTTTAAAATATGGTATGTTAACAAGGTAGACAGAAAATAAACAAGTAAACATTTTAAAGAATGCCATGTGGATAATAAAATAGAATGTGAATGAGATGCTTGTTAATCATCCTAACTTGCTAGAAATAAAAAGTTGGCAACCCTAAA